GGGTATGGATTATGGGTTGTGTTAAGGTATAGATTGTGAGGGAGTGTTGGGGTATGGATTGTATGTTGTGTTAAGGTATAGATTGTGAGGGAGTGTTGGGGTATAGATTGTGAGGGAGTGTTAGGGTATGGATTGTATGTTGTGTTAAGGTATAGATTGTGAGGGAGTGTTGGGGTATAGATTGTGAGGGAGTGTTGGGGTATGGATTGTGAGGTAGTGTTGGGGTATAGATTGTGAGGGAGTGTTGGGGTATGGATTGAGAGGGAGTGTTGGGGTATGGATTGTGAGGGAGTGTTGGGGTATAGATTGTGAGGGAGTGTTGGGATATAGATTGTGAGGAAGTGTTGGGGTATGGATTATGGGTTGTGTTGGGGTATGGATTGTAGGTTGTGTTGGGGTATGGATTGTGAGGGAGTGTTGGGGTATGGATTGAGAGGGAGTGTTGGGGTATGGATTGTGAGGGAGTGTTGGGGTATGGATTGTAGTTTGTGTTAAGGTATAGATTGTGAGGGAGTGTTGGGGTATGGATTGTGAGGGAGTGTTGGGGTATAGATTGTGAGGGAGTGTTGGGATATAGATTGTGAGGAAGTGTTGGGGTATGGATTATGGGTTGTGTTGGGGTATGGATTGTGAGGGAGTGTTGGGGTATAGATTGTGAGGGAGTGTTGGGGTATGGATTATGGGTTGTGTTAAGGTATAGATTGTGAGGGAGTGTTGGGGTATGGATTGTATGTTGTGTTAAGGTATAGATTGTGAGGGAGTGTTGGGGTATAGATTGTGAGGGAGTGTTAGGGTATGGATTGTATGTTGTGTTAAGGTATAGATTGTGAGGGAGTGTTGGGGTATAGATTGTGAGGGAGTGTTGGGGTATGGATTGTGAGGGAGTGTTGGGGTATAGATTGTGAGGGAGTGTTGGGGTATGGATTGAGAGGGAGTGTTGGGGTATGGATTGTGAGGAAGTGTTGGGGTATGGATTATGGGTTGTGTTGGGGTATGGATTGTGAGGGAGTGTTGGGGTATAGATTGTATGTTGTGTTAAGGTATAGATTGTGAGGGAGTGTTGGGGTATGGATTATGGATTGTGTTAAGGTATAGATTGTGAGGGAGTGTTGGGGTATGGATTGTATGTTGTGTTAAGGTATAGATTGTGAGGGAGTGTTGGGGTATGGATTGTATGTTGTGTTAAGGTATAGATTGTGAGGGAGTGTTGGGGTATGGATTGTATGTTGTGTTAAGGTATAGATTGTGAGGGAGTGTTGGTATAGGTATGGATTGTATGTATTTTGTGTTAAGGTATAGATTGTGAGGGAGTGTTGGGGTATGGATTGTATGTTGTGTTAAGGTATAGATTGTGAGGGAGTGTTGGGTTATGGATTGTGAGGGAGTGTTGGGGTATGGATTGTGAGGGAGTGTTGGGGTATAGATTATGGGTTGTGTTGGGGTATAGATTGTGAGGTTGTGTTGGGGTATAGATTGTGAAGGAGTGTTGGGGTATGGATTGTAGTTTGTGTTATGGTATAGATTGTGAGGGAGTGTTGGGGTATGGATTGTAGTTTGTGTTAAGGTATAGATTGTGAGGGAGTATTGGGGTATGGATTGTAGTTTGTGTTAAGGTATAGATTGTGAGGGAGTGTTGGGGTATAGATTGTGAGGGAGTGTTGGGGTATAGATTGTGAGGGAGTGTTGGGGTATGGATTGTGAGGGAGTGTTGGGGTATAGATTGTGAGGGAGTGTTGGGGGTATAGATTGTGAGGGAGTGTTGGGGTATAGATTGTGAGGGAGTGTTGGGGTATGGATTGTAGTTTGTGTTAAGGTATAGATTGTGAGGGAGTGTTGGGGTATAGATTGTGAGGGAGTGTTGGGGTATGGATTGTAGTTTGTGTTAAGGTATAGATTGTGAGGGAGTGTTGGGGTATAGATTGTGAGGGAGTGTTGGGGTATGGATTGTAGTTTGTGTTAAGGTATAGATTGTGAGGGAGTGTTGGGGTATGGATTGTAGTTTGTGTTGAGGTATAGATTGTGAGGGAGTGTTGGGGTATAGATTGTGAGGGAGTGTTGGGGTATAGATTGTGAGGGAGTGTTGGGGTATGGATTGTGAGGGAGTGTTGGGGTATTGGATTGGAGTGTTGGGGGTATAGATTGTGAGGGAGTGTTGGGGTATAGATTGTGAGGGAGTGTTGGGGTATGGATTGTAGTTTGTGTTAAGGTATAGATTGTGAGGGAGTGTTGGGGTATAGATTGTGAGGGAGTGTTGGGGTATGGATTGTAGTTTGTGCTAAGGTATAGATTGTGAGGGAGTGTTGGGGTATAGATTGTGAGGGAGTGTTGGGGTATGGATTGTAGTTTGTGTTAAGGTATAGATTGTGAGGGAGTGTTGGGGTATGGATTGCAGTTTGTGTTAAGGTATAGATTGTGAGGGAGTGTTGGGGGTATAGATTGTGAGGGAGTGTTGGGGTATAGATTGTGAAGGAGTGTTGGGGTATGGATTGCAGTTTGTGTTAAGGTATAGATTTTGAGGGAGTGTTGGGGTATAGATTGTGAGGGAGTGTTGGGGTATGGATTGTAGTTTGTGTTAAGGTATAGATTGTGAGGGAATGTTGGGGTATAGATTGTGAGGGAGTGTTGGGGTATAGATTGTGAGGGAGTGTTGGGGTATAGATTGTGAGGGAGTGTTGGGGTATAGATTGTGAGGGAGTGTTGGGGTATAGATTGTGAGGGAGTGTTGGGGTATGGATTGTGAGGGAGTGTTGGGGTATAGATTGTGAGGGAGTGTTGGGGGTATAGATTGTGAGGGAGTGTTGGGGTATAGATTGTGAGGGAGTGTTGGGGTATGGATTGTAGTTTGTGTTAAGGTATAGATTGTGAGGGAGTGTTGGGGTATAGATTGTGAGGGAGTGTTGGGGTATGGATTGTAGTTTGTGTTAAGGTATAGATTGTGAGGGAGTATTGGGGTATGGATTGTAGTTTGTGTTAAGGTATAGATTGTGAGGGAGTGTTGGGGTATAGATTGTGAGGGAGTGTTGGGGTATAGATTGTGAGGGAGTGTTGGGGTATGGATTGTGAGGGAGTGTTGGGGTATGGATTGTATGTTGTGTTAAGGTATGGATTGTGAGGGAGTGTTGGGGTATGGATTGTATGTTGTGTTAAGGTATAGATTGTGAGGGAGTGTTGGGGTATAGATTGTGAGGGAGTGTTGGGGTATGGATTGTAGTTTGTGTTAAGGTATAGATTGTGAGGGAGTGTTGGGGTATAGATTGTGAGGGAGTGTTGGGGTATGGATTGTAGTTTGTGTTAAGGTATAGATTGTGAGGGGGTGGTCTATAACTTTACTGACATCAGTGATATTTACTATTTCTATACGCCCACAACATTATCAGATATCTGAATCCAGTATATCATCACTAGTTTATCAATTTATCAATCTGACACCACTCCATACTCCATATGCTAACAACAGACATAAAGCATTGTGAAACCTAATATGAATATCCAGCTCAGTTTTAAATTTAAACTACACAATTCCTTTTTTTTAAAACATCATGAATAGACACTAATTCTATAATGTATATGATAGTGTTGTAACACCAATAGCTACAGCTGTACATGTATATATGATCTTAGGCTTAATTCTGAGAAGATCAATTTACATTATCAGGTATGGATATTCATTAAATGTAATGAGATGTTGTTTCTAACAAAGAAAAAAAAAATTTTTTTCACTTTCTTAACTATTCTCTTCCAGTTGTTTTTTCTTGCCTTATTTAAAAATATTGAACAAATGAGTAATGTGACTTTGATTTGCTTTTTTAGATACCAAAAGTTAGGTTTACATTAATTAAAATAACAAGCCATGTCAGACATATTAATTAATTTTATGGATATTTAGTTCCAATAAGAAAAGGTAGGATATTTTAATACCAATTCAATAAAAGTTTGTATTAAAGCATATTTACAATAATATTCAAACTTTGCAAATATTACCTTTCAAGACTGAGAATGCTGATGATAAATTCATTTATAAAATTTTGTAGATTTTTTTGTTTGTAACAGTCTCATCACTTAAGGAATTTATCCTGGTAGAATTTCAAAGCTTTTAGTATAATTTGGTAGCAAACTCCTGGAGGGGTTTTCTTTAAAATACTTTTTTTAAAATGAAGAAAATGAAGGAAAAACTGGTTAAAATTATAAAAAAAAACTTAGATTAACTTGTAATTGATGGAATCAGAAGGTAATTATAATGTACGGTGTACTTCTCAGAATAAATTGCTGTGGGGTAAACTCACCACAGCCATGTAATTTTCTCTGCACCTCTGATTATATTTCTAATCAAATGCTATCAAAATAGACAGGCTGTTTCACACATATTTATAGAGGTCCTACACAATCTAATCAGTAACTAAAATGTCTCTCTTCGAATGTCACATTTCTCACATATGTTAGTAGGTATTTTCTATATCTTCAGTGGTGCAGCAACATGTGAAATATCAACTAAATTACATCTTACAATGGTACAACATTCACCATGAGCTAAATTCTGCATACAGTTTAGTTTTCCATATTTCCTTCTAAATGAATCACTTCCAACAAACATGGGACATAACATACAGAAATCTGATATTTAATATCAAAGACTGTTATATGTTGATTTCATTCTTTTCACTAACACTACTGAAGATTTCCTGAACATAGAGACATGACCTTCTTTGACCTATGACCTAAGGTGACCTATTAGCCTCCTAAAACCAAGAGTCACCATACTGTCAATGTTACTATTTTTGTGAAGTTTCATTTTTCATCTTTTCAAGGATAGAACAAAAACATGGAAATGAGATACCCTGAAAAGAAGAGGTGTAAAAACAGGAATTTGTGGCCCACTGCAAAATTTCTACCAAAATTATATCCTTTTTGCTTCATAATATTGGTTGAATTGTGAATATTTCAACCAACAAAAAATCAACATGAACCATATGCTGATGTGCAATGGTCTTGCAGTTACATACCTGGTTGTCTGGACAGAGCACTGTGAAGTAGCCTACACACTGAATGACCTCGTGGAGTATATCTTCTGATGTATGATGGCTACAGTACCACATGAGGTAGCTAGCTATGTGACGAAACTCCAGTGACATGCCCTCATCTCCTAGGGTTTTCTACAACCAAAATATATCTGATCATTATCATTAATTGATTCCTATACTTCATATATTTATCATGGAACTTCCATTTAACAATACAAGTATTTTGAAAGACACAACTTCTTCCCTGAATTGTAGTAATTATGGGGATTTCACCTGTGGTGCAAGACATTAATGAGAAAATCTCACCTGAAGCATAGGGAGGTCAAGAGTAGCCATGTTGTTGAGCATTCTTAATCCAGTAAGTGTTACAGCCATGGTGTGCTGAGGAAACTCTGGCGGGGAGGAATCATTACGACTTGGTGCTCCAGAGTGTAGGAGCATGCCGTACAGAAGAGACACAATTCCAACCAACTCTGTCATTTCATAAGTGTTGATAAGCTGGGTGGGATCTTCTACTTTCTTCTGGTCAAATATAGAGTTGTTTCTGTGAAAACAAGAAGCGTAAAAAGAAATTAGAATTAATCTACTTATCAGGTTTCAAGGTGAGTAATCCCCCCTCAAAATCCAACTGGTTTTCATCAAATTTGAATTTTGTTATAAAAAAGGATCCTCATCTCTTTGAATTTTTTAAAGTATCAGGAACAATTTGAAACTTTAAATTCTAGACATTTAAAGCAGACTAAATTTGTTGCACATAAATATAAAGTAATTGGGGAAAAAATCTGTTTTAAAAAAAAGGAACAGTAGTTATTGTGATTAGGAACTCTTTTGAAATGAAAGTAGTTTTAGACATGTCATTGGGGCAACTTTGATGACAAACAAACATGGTGGCAAATATCAAACTATTGGTTGTTGTTGTTGTTCAACAATCTCATCATTATTGTATCTTCTTCATATAATTCCTTTAAGAAAATGAATCCTTGATTGTGGCGGGAAAGGTTCCTATCAAAGAGAAGTTAAGCCTCACTGATTAAGTATTATCCATAATAATGATGTAATGATAAAGTGCTTCTTTTGGTTCAGTTTGGAATTAGTTGTTTCAACATTATTGTTTTGCTGCACTGAGGAACTCTTTCTCTGTCAGAATATTTGTAGACATTTGAATAATTTTATTATTCCTCTTCCAGACACATATTCCAGTGTCACAATCTGTATTTTGCCCCTGAAACCTCACTGTATCTCTTTTTTAACTCTGGCAAATGAAGTCTAAAGAAGGGAAATAACTCATCAACAATCATGATACTTCCTATTTAAATAGCAATAGGAAGTTTATCTTAATAAAAAAATTATTATAAATTTGTGTATGAACCTGAGAAATATTTTTCTATAGATCAAATGACTCCTTAACCGCCAGAAATGTTAACTATTGATCGGAAATCCTGGTTTTTGGACAGATACTGCAAATTTGTCTTCTTTCCAAATATATTCAAATGTGTAATGGAGTCTTCTGAATTTCACTTGTAAAATTGTGGCAAATACACATTTGTGACATAGCCTTAATTCTATGATTTATAATGGACAAGTGTTTAAATTACCAACCTGAAATTCTAATATGACCATAAATCATTATTTTTTTGTTTTTATAGATAATTCCAAAAATTCTAAAATTCAAAAATTCTTATAATGATGTACACTTGTACATGTAATTATAGGTGAAAAAAATATTCCTCATCAAATTATCTTGACATGGGAAAATCTACATCATCAATCAAAAACACAGAAAATAAGTCAGTAAAAAAGAGCAGGAATTTTTTTGCCATTGCTAATGGATTATACTATTATGAAATACACACATAGACAAAATCTGTCATTGGAATCACCACTCATCCATCAAAAAAACATCAACTCACAAAAATTACAAAAATTTGTACTGGAGCTCCACGGCTGATGCTGCAATAACCTTATCTTAACTTTTTTTTCAAATTAACTTTGAAATTCAATTCATACCATCCATCTTGTAAGTGAAAATTTGTAATATATAATGTGTGATGTCGAAAGCATTATGTCTATCATACCAAACTAATTTCTGGTATTTGTAAAAAATTGGTGAAGTCATTGTGTATATATTACATTATCTAGCACAAACTCTGTGAAAGTATAATGATCACTTCACCAAATACACTTTATGTATTGTTTGCTTGGTTTACTGCCTGCTCTGTGAACAACCAGGGTAACTTTAAGGTGGAGTCTCCTATAGTTGCTAATGACTACCTTACAGAACAACATATAGGAGGCCCACTGCATGTCATCCGTTAGCAATTTGGGTAAAATGTCTTACCCAAAGGTACATCTACGGTAGCACTGAACCAGTTGGTTTCCCAACTTCCTGAGAAACACAAGCTGCCACAGATCGGAAACATTGGGCTACACAACTGGGATCTTCAGCTGAAGTTCTTGTGTAGGCTAATGCTTTACTGACCAAGTCAGCTACACCTTTTGACCTGAAGTAGCTACAAACCTTCCCGTTTCCATCTGTGTTGACTACTGAAGTTAGTTAAGTGTGACAGCATGTAAACAGAAAGGAAAAAAAGGAGAGAAAAAAACCAGGATGTTCCTTCATTTCTTTCACTATGCTTCTAACATTCAATATTTTCTAAAGTTCTTTCCTTTTGCAGTTGATTTCATGTTGTATTTCCTCTTCTGCTGAATGATTTTAAATAAATTCAGTAAGGTTTCTGGTGTTAGAAATTTACTCATGAAATAATGATGAACAATTTGAAGGCAAAAATAAGTAAAGAGAGATAACTCCTACCTTGATTTCCATAGAATGTGTGTAAGGTAGCATAGATCCTTAATGTAAAATCTGATCATTATTACAAGGCCAAAAATAAACTGATACCACTGTTTTCAGTAATTTGTCCTATTTTAAAGTTTTAGTATGTGTTATACAACCTTGGCATATGAACAGTAAACTATTGTATCTTTTCATTTTCTCATTTATCCTGTCTATTTTCAGGCTGATGTACAACACCACATCAACAGAAGAATTTCATCCAACGTTCACAATTACATTACAACAACGACAAAAAAAGATCTCGCTGGGTGGTAAAAAAATTACATCATCACTCTTGTAGATGTTGTTATCACCCTACCAGTGTCTTTGATTACTGGATATAATTATTTTATTATTTTTAATCATCAATGGCCATCAAACTTTCAGTGTGAAAGCCATTCTGGTGTATCCCAGATAAACACTACTGATTACATTTTTACCTTTCATATTATAGCGATTATGAAAACAAATAATACTGGATGGGTCTTTATCGATGAAAATGAAAAGTATTTCAGTGTTACTCAGCATCATCAAATACCAGTAATTTTTGGTGTCTATTCAAATCACTGCATTTCTATTTAAAAGATAGCTGACTTGTTTATTCAACTGATCTTTTTTACATAATTGTCATTTCTTCTTTTTATTACTTAAAAAGGTTGTGCGACTGACTCCTAATAAATCTAGTGTATCTAAAAAGATTTGTGCAATCTTCCCCCTAGCAGTGCGATAGTATGTGACAAACTTTCCCGTCTCCACTGAATGCTTTGTAACAAATGTAACCCAGAAAGCCTAGAAGGCCATTAATTTCTCAGGCACCCAATTATGGTCAATTGGCTAGACTGCAACCTCACCTAACTGACCATTAAGCGTTGGGCCGATCGACTGACCACCACTCATGGATCGTCTCAAAATGAGAATTTTGTCTGCAGCCACCAAATAAAGATTGAAGCATGTAACATTGGATGTCTGGAAAAAAATACCTGAGCTAGACACAGGATGTTTTAATCGTCTTGTATTTTAATGCCTTAATCACAGTTTAATAATCTTCCTTGCCAAATCAGACGACCCTCCTGTCAATTTAAATCATTTCTATTTAGGGTTCAAACATGTAGTTTTTTCCCCCCAGTTGCGAAAACTAGAAAATTGTGAGGTTGATATTTAGCACCAGACATCAAAAAGTCTCTATAGCCACTTGAAAGGATGAACACTGGCGGATCCTGGATTCCAAATATTATCATAACCTCAGAAAAATTACACAAAATGACATATTTGGTCTCCATCATTGTATTTGGTGTTTTGATAGCATATTATTAGCCCGACATAAATGAGTCATATTTGATCATGGATGCATTTATCAAGACGGGTGTAACTAGCATGTATCTTGGATATAATAAATTCACTTATGCCTCGCCAACGATCTAATGAACGGTCTGCAGGGACTTCTCCCGGTTCCATTAACTAACGCTCTTCTCCTGATGCTCGCATTAATAAGTTAATAAGCGGGGATTGTAAGATTCCCCGAGATTTTCTCCTGTCATAACGCATCGGGATTATAGGTAGAAAAATGCTGGATGCATTGACAAGTCCAAAATTAGCTTCTTTGTTGATGGCTATCCCTGCAAGTAATTCAATAAAGGCCAATGGCAACCGGGAATTATTGTCATAATCATCACAAGAAAAAATAACTCATCTTTCGGAACTGCAAAAATATCACTTTTTATTGTAAAATATTGCTCCATAATGCATGCGAATTAAGTTAAATCCAGAGAAAGGATAGGCCTGAACATTTGGATGCGCTTCAGTGCATCACTACAAGGTTTCTACAACTTCCAATAAGCTGTTTTGGTACGGACATTTCAGACTGTAGCTGTGGCTAGTACATTAGTGAGACGTGCCATTGTTTTCCCACGTTGGCTTTATACAGAAATATGATGGGCTCATGATACATTCCAGAGCTTCTTTTTATCAGATAATCCACTTTTTGCAGAATTAAATTTCAAACCAAATCGAGTGGAAATCAAATTTGTGTTATCTCTACCAGGTCTGGTTAAACCCTCAATCCCAGTGTTCCTAATTATTCCTCAATTGAATAAAAACAAGAAATAATATTCTTTTGACAGTTTGTTGTAAATTATGATATTAATCTCAGTGATGAAAAAAAAATAAAATATGCCAAATCATATCTTATTGTGTGACCTCTGATCATTATAACTGTTTTGTTTATTTTTTACCTGTTAACTTCATCATGAATTCTTCAGATTGAATATATCTTTTAGGTAAAAATGAATCATTTTGGTAACTTCATCATAACTTCAATGTCAAATCAAGACATATTTCATGAAATATTTTGATCTTTGGTGAATACATGTATACAAAACTGATAAAAAAAAGGCAAATAAGAAAGGGAAAAAAAAGTATACTAAAACCAGTTAATAAAAGTACTAATAAGCTGTACAATCTAAGCTGCTATTTTATTTTTTAAGTAATGACTAATGATGAAAATGACAGTTTCCCCTGACAAGACGAGCGTAACTTCACTATGTTAGAATTAAAGCAGTGCTTTAGCTGTTATTTCGCGATGATTTCATTTGCTATCATCTAGTCGGTGTCTCAGAATATCTCTCGCCCCCAACTAATGGAACAGCCGTGAAATTTACATTAAGTCCCCTAGAGAACCCGCCTGAATTGTCACCTCATACCAGGAGATACAAATTATCTCCGTTTGTATACCATATGTTATGGACATCAAAACAAGCTAATTACTTGAAATCAAATCTAAGAATGTTCAAATTACCAGTTAGAAATTCTCACCGGGACCCTTGCCCCTCCCACTCTGGTTCAAGGTGTAAACAGGCCCGGATTAAGACAGAATTTGGGAACTTTAATAGAGATGAGAACTGAGGGAAGGGAATCAAGCCACACCCCTTTCTGGAGCATTCGTTCCTTTAAGTACTGTGTAACAGTGCGGGTGCTGGACTTCCTCGTCCCCTAGGGACAAGTTGATGGCGTATGTACAGAGAGTGTAACAGAGGAACAGTGTATGCTCATCTTGCGAACTAACTTTAGAATTGCCTATGCCTAATGTGTAATTAACACCTCCAGTTTGTAAGCTGGAGAATGCTTCCTCACGTTAAATATCCTCTCTAATGGACTAGCATCAACATTACGAGGCGTAAGATTGAAAGGCAAGGAGAGTAAAAATCTCATAATACAAAAATTACCACACAATCATGCACAATGTGAACTACATGGGATTAGCTGAGCACAGCATGTGCTTCACAAAAGATACATGTAACTTGCTGTAAAAGTATCCACTTTCATTGGCGACCATATTGTATGAATGCCCATCAAAATCTTTTTCATACCCGTACTAAGTGTTCAAGACCACAACAGAGCCTCCAAAACATGATAATAAAAAAAAACTGAGTGAGCTCATTTACGCCTTTCCTTTCTGAACAGATAATGGCCAGCATTATAAACATTGGGATTGCTGTTCATACTTTATAAAATTTCTCTAAGAATGCTTTATTCCAACACAAGACGACATTTGGGTTAATGTGTATGAAATAGAGGAGGAGTTGACATGAAATGCTAAAAGTCACACCATAAACACTGACATCAAATTTGCTGAAATCAAGCTACTCTCATGTGTTTAAATGTCTGTACAACTCTGGACCACATGTATTCAGAAAAGAAATGATTATTTCTAATAACTTGCTGTCATTTTACCATCATTAAATGTAGTAAAAATGAGTAATGGACCAAAGCAAAAAGATATTTTAGGTATCCTTGGCATCCTTTTAATTTTTCATTATGGTTCTCAAGTTAAATAGAAATCAAAACATTTATTTATCAAATTTAGTTTTTAAAACACAACCTAATAACCTACTACATTTTATGTATAATGCAATTAAATTACATATGCACATTATCACAAATACATCTATATAAATATGGAAAATGGTTATTTCATAATCCAAGTTGTTTAAAAGTATTTGTGATATTTATAAGCATCATCATGTTCTTTTCTTTGCCGTATTTTAGAGTCCAATATTTTACATTTTCTACAGTAAGATGAGTTAATTTTACACCATCTACATCAGGATAAATAGATTTTACATCATATGCATTAGCATAAATTAATTTTGCATTATCTACAGAGGTGTAAATCAATTTAACATTATTAACAAAATTAATTGATTTTATCAACATTTGTTTAAATAAATTTTACACTTATCTTCAGAAGGATTAATTAATTAACGTCATCTACATTAAGATAAATAATGTTATCTACTGTAAGATTTTTTACAGTAATTTTACAATACCTTAATGGTAGAACAGATCAATTTTACTTTATCTATCACAAGATAAATAAATTTTTACAATATCTATCATAAGTTAATTAACATTTTACATTTCTACTATACGACAAATAAAATTTTACATTTTCTATTGTAAGAAAAGTAAAATTTCTACAGTAAGTAAAATTTTACATTTTTTATCATAAAATCAGTAAAATTTGACATTTCACTAAAGTAAGTAAAATTTTATCATTTCTTTATCACAAGATCAGTAAAATTTGACATTTCCTACACTAAAGTAAGTAAAATTTTATCATTTCTTTATCACAAGATCAGTAAAATTTGACATTTCCTACACTAAAGTAAGTAAAATTTTATCATTTCTTTATCACAAGATCAGTAAAATTTGACATTTCCTACACTAAAGTAAGTAAAATTTTACTAAAATTTCTTTATCACAAGATCAGTAAAATTTGACATTTTCTTTATCACAAGATGTAAAATTTGTAGTAAAATTTTATCATTTCTTTATCACAAGATCAGTAAAATTTGACATTTTATACAATAAGATCAGTAAAATTTTACTATTTCTATGGTAAGAAAATCAGTCTGATCTGCATAAGAATAAATCAATTTATACTATCAACAAATGAATAAATTAATTCTACGTTATCTACAGTAAGATAAATCAACCTTTACTTACATTATCTACTTTTGATGCGTTTCCAAATCTAACTCTTATCTGTTGTAAAGTATTAGGCAATGTTTCTTTCTTACTGTTTTAATTATAGACTAATACATTTTCACACTTTTCAAAGTTTTAGAACTTTTATTTATCTTTATCTTAAGACACAGGTAAGATTCTTGTACAGATTGAAAATTATAAGACATTTTACAATAAATAACTATATAAAGATACATGTTGTATCATAAACGAACATGTATTCAGATTTCATAACAACAAATGGTAATTGAAAAATACTTCAAGAACTGAAAGCGATTGTTTGGGAAAAAAAAAGAGCGTTTTATAAAATGCATTATATACATACTCAAACACTTGACTAACAGTATTTGATGATTTTATATCTTATTTCAAGTTGGCTCCATACATGGAATTTTCACTTTGTCATTCTGTTTGCAATTTTATTCAACTCAAGTACTCTTGACTCTTTCCCATAATTTAATATTTGTGTTTGTAGAGGTGATTGGAAACATACGGCAACTTAAAATGATTATCAACTGATGTATCATGAAAAACACAATATCAGATCAATTAAGAGTACGCTAATGACAGCCACCGTTTACTGGAAAATTTACAGTAATAACAGTTAATGATAATTCATCCCTATCAACATCATAAATACAATAAATGACATTTATTACGGGCAAAATTTACTGTCTGGACCAGAAACATATTTTCTCAGTGGCTATGTAACATCCTGACTGTACATACAAACAATAATCTGACATTTCCTATAAATCCAAACAGCAGATCTTTTGCCCCTGGACATCTAGTCTGATGGAATTACTGCCACAAAATACGGACAAAATTTCAGCTTGTTTGAGTTGCGTAGTTACCATTTATCGCTGAGGCAATCAGCATTCTCACCAGAGTAATGGACAAGGATGATCGTTTTCTCTCAATGCATTGTGCCAGGATTAACATGAACATTTTCCATGCGTTAGAGCCGGAATCAATAGACTTGCTTTGTTAACATTCACCATATGAAATATCAGTCCACCTGTGTGTCATGTTCTCATGATTTTTCAGATTTTTTTTTTTTAAATCTACAAAAACACAGACATATCTTATATATCAGCCACAAAACAAGGGATTTTAGTCTGAAAAAATTGGACAAATTTCATTCTATGTGGAAATTTACATCTTAAGACATCAGTCAAATTTTAAACTATGTGAAAGAGCTGAACAACTTCCAAACAAGAAGAAAACTTTTCCAATAATTATTGGTTGAAATAATTTCTGTGTGATTCAAAGAGGTCCTCACATGTATAAGTTAGTGATCATACACCACAGCTTGAAATATCCTCAGCACAAAGTAATGAACAGAAAATGAAAACGAACCATCGCATTGTACTTCATGGAACACAAGCCCCAACTTAAGTATACTTTAAATATACTTTGCCATCGGAAGACATGCTCAAATATAAACTTAGGCTACTGCAAGTCATATGTGCCATGGACAAAGTGCCGTATCATGAAGAAAGGGATATAATTTTGTAAATGGTGGGGTGTGAAACCCCATTAAATATTTAAAAGACAGATTTTGCTGGTAATTAGTAATGTGAGTTGTATTAGACTCTGTGTTAAGTTCATATACAATTTCATTATTCTCTTCTTTATTTGATGGGGGGTGGGGGTGGGAGGGGGGGGTGTTAAGGTTTATCTTTCATCTCCTTTTTCAATATGGCTTTAATTTTCAGTTTTCTTACCCTTGTTTCAGAACCTCACACGGGATAAATCAGTATTTTGATAAACCACAAAAATCTTGATTTGTCTTTAAATCCAATAACTGTAACAACAGTAAGAATTTTAAATCCAGATATACACAAATATATAATGTTCCAAAGATAGATTTATCAATTTTTCTTCAGTCATCAACTCACCTTTTTGACATAATTTTTGTCATAGAAACCAGTAGACCCAAACTGTGTTGTAGAAACTCTGCTCCCTCCTTATCTTCATCAATTGGGCCCTGAACACCACGGAAATACTGTGTCAGCTTGTCCACGATACCAACACTGATGATATAACTGCAAACACACAAATCATTGATGTTTGTAAAATCAGGAGCTTTATTTCATAACATTTTCTTCTTGTTGGTAATGCCAACAAAATGAAAGTAACACAGCTAGCCAATAAACAGTTTAAGTGTGACTTTGGATAACGACACTGTCACTTTAATCAGACACAAAATAAAAAACCCCACTAATTTACTGATTTGTTTTGTCTGATGAAGGTGACAAAGTTGTCATCAAAAGTGGTTGTTCTATAAGAACATACAAGATAGAGACATTTATTACGATAACATAGACAGTGTTAAAAGACTCCAAAGGATACCAGCATCCAAACATCAAGATAATCAATGCTTTGGTAACTATAGCAAAAAATGTGTATTTTCCAATATTCTGAGGGGGAAAAATAGAAGCATAAAAAAAGAGTTTAAAAGTACTTTTAAGCACGGTTGATTATTTCTTTAAAACCAACTTATTATATCATATTTATATTTAATTATATTAGTAGTTCTGAAAAGTGGAAATCAGACATGAAACTGCAGACAAACTAATTTATAAATTACATGCATCGAAGGTAGAAGTAAACAGCCATTTAAATGTGCAACATTATTTACGGGAAACAAATTTGTGACCAACATATCTCTCTATTGCTAAGAACAGGAGGGAATCCAGTTATTAATTTTCATTTACAGTTTTTTTTTCTGTTTTTGTTACATTTGATCTGTTAAATTCTCCTTTTGTTAACCTATACTAATGACAGGTAAGCGGCTATCCACAATTGGAAAGCACAGTTATCAATCACTCTAAGCGAATGAGACGTCACATATCTGATATTGTGGTCAATAGGACCATGTTTGGTCAATATTCACTCTGTCCATGTTGAGATTATAAGTGTGCTTCTGTATATCTTGGGCACGCTGGCATCATAATATTTTCATGGGCATCATAATGTTATTGCAGGCATCAAAATATTACTGAGGGCATCATAATGTTACAGTGGGCATCATATATGCCTTCAGATTACCACATATTAAATATCTATAATTCATTTCTTCTGGTAATCCTTTGTTATTTAAGTTTCAATAAATATTTTACTACAAATTGAGTTTTTTGTTCATATATATTGAAGGATAACAAATGACACTGAAAACGTAAGAGAAACAAAAGAAAAACAAACAAACAAACAAACAAATCATTACACACATCACATATCTATATAGAAAATACATATCTGGCCCTAATTACTCATTATAACATAGACAATCATTTACATTCAGAATTCATTTTGTAGAAATCCATCTAATTCCAAACTAAGAATGAAATTAGCCATGTATAATGATTGAAATCCAACTAAAGGAGATATGATGAGTTGTTAGGGAGGCTGACCACATGGGACAATGACATCACTATGCAAACCAACCGTGACTGTCGCCCAGATATACAATTTCATCTCCTCGCAATGAAAACATATTTAATTTGTCACATTAACCATTAACGACTACAGGACAAACAGTCATAAATTTGGGTTATTTTCATTGCCACAGTTTGAATGGAAAGAAGACATCCATTATAAATCTCTGTAAATGAATCTGATGCTTCGTGTAACACTGTGCTATTGTCTACCTGAGGTAGCTTGAGTCAGCCGAGTGCACAAAATTAACAAACGACTATTTGATATTGTCTTTATTGAGACGAAGGATTACGGTGTTGATTGACAAACAACGAAATGAGTTGATCACAAATCTATTAAACCTAATACTAATCCTAAAGATTCAGAATTTATTCTATTCATCAGTTTCTATACCAACCCGTCTGATGAATCAAGGTTGGTAATAAAATCTTGTCCGTCAATTCACAATGAAGCGACCATGTACTGACTTCCTAGCTAGTGATGGCTATCAGATGAAACAAAACATAAAACTATTAGGTGAAAAGTGAACGGAAATTGGAGCAGGCCTTTCACAAATTAGTATTTTTGTGTGAGTTTTATGGATGAGGGTTACCACTAGCATAGCTAGACTCCGCATGTGGGCTTGTCGACTAAGATTGAAACAGCTGATGTATCAAGTACCAGACTAGATGCTGAGATGGACATTCATTTCCGGATGGTGAAAGTATGAATGGGATTCGGTCGGCCGTGACAGGATCCAGTCATTGAAAATGCAACGTAATCAGTCGGCACGACACCTATATCCGTCCTTGTTGTTCAGTCCTAGGTGCGGGTGTCAACTTCCGCCCTCTTTGTTAGAGTTATTTGAGGCGACAAGCAGTACTGAATCATTACACACTATCAAAAGACATAATTAATAGCCATCCCATATATAATTTTGTGTTTACTTCAAGAATTCATTTCAGAAAATAATTAGTGTGAGTCAACTTCCAACCAATACAAGGTAAACTGTAAATAAGGGCAGAACTTTATGTTCCATATTAAAAATGTCTGATATCAAAGATCAAATTGTCATAAACATTTATTTACACAAACGGGATAATTGACATCTGACAAACAGTCATAACTAACATACAAATCACATTGCAAATAAAAAACCAAATTCCATGATTTTATGGAGCCCCATGTAAGGTATGGAATATAATCGCCCTTGGTGTGATGCAGATCTTTCTATATTTTACAAGATTATGTTCTCCCATAGTAGGTTAAACACATCATATGATATTTCCTGTAATCAGATTTCACGAAAATCATTATCTTTAATCCTCCTTGGTCGTAATTTGAAATCAATATTTGTGTTTAATCCTGTGTAATGCTGTGCTATACATTGAGCCCTTTATAATGAAAAGATGGAGGCTTTGTGTTCAAATAAAGCATTAAACAATGTCAGTCATGTGTAAATCTACTATCTCCAAAGTATCTTCAACATTTTCCACTCCGCACTTCATCTGAATCTGGATGACAGTCATCGGCCACAGATGAAATAGGATGCGCTATTCGTTGTTGTGCGGTTGAGTTGGTGGTAGAGAGGAGATTCCTGTCATGTCCTTAAAGTCCCGACTGTCGTTCGATGGAATCAAAGTTTACAATAAAATAGCTACTGATGACACCCCTGTTTAAAGCCTTATCAATCATCATTGGTTTTCTCACTATCCGTATAGGCATCAAGATAATCACTCATGGAAACGGCTGGAATTCAAATCCATATTTACCATCAGCGAAGCGCCCCACTGTTAGTAATGACACATCCTAGGGTGTAACAGAAATACATCTTTTCTACTGATGCTTTGTCATCAGATTCATCACCAGGCCATGATCAGTCTAACTACCACTTAACATCAATGCTGTTAATATTCACTCAGTCTTGTCTTTTTTCCCCGTGAAATTGGCAAATATGAAAGCAATAATTAAAGATGCTGAAACTGAGAACTAAACAAAATCCTAGGTTTATAACGCCTGCAGTCTTGTGTTAAACTCACTTTTTCTGTTGATTCATATCTTTAAAAAAAACTGCCAATCTACAAAGTTCTGCTATACACAAACCCCAAGTGTCCAATCTACAAAGTTCTGCTATACACAAATCCAAGTGTCCCGTCTACAAAGTTCTGCTATACACAGACCCAAGTGTCCAGTCTACAAAGTTCTGCTATACACAAACCCAAGTGTCTAGTCTACAAAGTTCTGCTATACACAAAAACCCAAGTGTCTAGTGTCTAGTCTACAAAGTTCTGCCATACACAAACCCAAGTGTCTAGTCTACAAAGTTCTGCTATACACAAACCCAAGTGTCCAGTCTACAAAGTTCTGCTATACACAAACCCAAGTGTCCAGTCTACAAAGTTCTGCTATACACAAACCCAAGTGTCCAGTCTACAAAGTTCTGCTATACACAAACCCAAGTGTCTAGTCTACAAAGTTCTGCTATACACAAACCCAAGTGTCCAGTCTACAAAGTTCTGCTATACACAGACCCAAGTGTCCAGTCTACAAAGTTCTGCCATACACAAACCCAAGTGTCCAGTCTACAAAGTTCCACATATACACATTAAACAATAAGTGTCCAGATATGATATTTGTTTGATTTATTAATCAAATCTACAAACAAAAGTGCTCATATACATAGATGAAAACAGCATACCAATCCATAGTGTATTTCGCAAGATAACTAGGCAACCATCTACACATCCTATAAAAAGCCCAGGGGGCCAACAAATTACCTCTGTATCAATGTTACCTATTATCCTAGGATTATCAGAGGACAATTAAATTTCATTAATTGGTAGTTCCAATGAAGAACTATTAATCATATGTCAACTCATTAGTAAAGGTACAAAATTAGTTATTCTAAGAAAAACATACTGCATATAATGAAGTCTATTATTTATACATGTACAATTTTACACCATTAAACATGCATGATCTGTGAATCTAAATAAAGCTTAATACTCTATATGTTTTACGATATCAATTTCTATGTAAATTGACTTCTGTCATCTAAAGCCAGATGTCAATATGAAGGGGAATTTTTACAGTGTTAAGATTTCATTTCAGTGTATATTGTAGGTTAGAGGCATATTTCAAAATTGCATCTAATCTCGCGGAATCTGCCAGAAATTGTCCTTAAGTTGTAACAACTGGCATAAGCGTGTAGAGCACATACCAAAGAAACACATAAATTTCATCATAGCCTGCTGTTGTTCATCAAGTCTTTAAACAGCCAACAAATGTCACACCAAGGTATCACTGTTGTGAACTCTGACCTCTACAATCCCCTCATTATCCGTATGTAGCCCCCTGAGAATCCGGGGAGGGGTACAAATTTCAGGCAGCTTTGTGTGTTTCCTTACTGATTATATATGGTACCACTGTGAGTGCCAACACACTACAAGTGGAGTCAGAGCAGTCTTTTTTTTATATAATTCTGAGCTGTTTTAGAGCTGTAAATTGAAAGCAGACACTTTGACATGTGTCGTTGTAAGCGTTGCCAGTGGAATCTGTTACCTATTGTGTTTATGTTCAAACATAATTCTGTCAACTCTCTTAGGAATCAAATTCACTTCTTCAGCTC